CTTGACCTTCAAGGTCATTTCAAGATTAGGTTAGATTTTTTAAATAAAAACCCCTATTTTTGATTCCAAAATCTAATAGCTGGTGTCAAGAGCTTTTCAAAACACTATAATGAAGTTATTTTTTATTAAGTACTTTTCGAGTTATGAGGCTTGTAAATTACAGTATTTTGACATAAAATACAAAATATCTTGTAAAACATTCAATTTTTGGGAATCTTACCTTAATACTTTTATGCATAAAATAATAAGACGAATCAATTGGTATAAAGAAAACACATAGTTGCTTTCAAAAAAAAGTATGCAGTTGCATGTTGCAAACTACATATTTTTTCTTGAAGGCAACTATGTGTTTTCTTTATACCAATTGATTCGTCTTATTATTTTATGCATAAAAGTATTAAGGTAAGATTCCCAAAAATTGAATGTTTTACAAGATATTTTGTATTTTATGTCAAAATACTGTAATTTACAAGCCTCATAACTCGAAAAGTACTTAATGAAAAATAACTTCATTATAGTGTTTTGAAAAGCTCTTGACACCAGCTATTAGATTTTAGAATCAAAAATAGGGGTTTCCATTTAAAAAACCTAACCTAACCTTGAAATGACCTTGAAGGTCAAGCTCAAGGTCAAATTGAAGGTCACCGTTAAATTTCTCGTTGAAAATTACTTCAGAAATAACCTTGACCTTTTTCAAAAATACCTTACATGAGAAAATATTCAGCCGTCCCGGGACTTAATTGACACCCTGTATATGCATAACGTATTGTTTGTGCCGCTTGTGTAATCGATGTTTGTCGCGCATGTGTAATTGATAAAAAAAAGCGGTCGTATATATTGACCTTCTAAAAAAATTAATCTTCCAAAAAAAATGTCGTATACATTAACAAACCTTCCAAAAAAAAGTTGTTTATATAAACACGTAAACCTTTCAAAAAAAGCTGTCGTATATATTAACCTTCCAAAAAATTTATCTTTTACAAAAAAATGTATATATTAACAAATAACAAACCTTTCAAAAAAAGCTGTCGTATATATTAATCTTCCAACAAATTTATCTTCCACAAAAAAATGTATATATATTAACAAATAACAAACCTTCCAAAAAAAAGTTGTTGTATATATAACCAAATAAAAATTTGCTATATATTCTGCCTATAAAAGAGGTGATATCAGAAAATGACGCCAAGTTTAAATAAAAAATACTTTCAAAAAAACTTGTATGTATATATTTTAAAAAAAGTTGTATATACCAAATAAAAATTCGCTATATATTCTGCCTATAAAAGAGGTGATATCAGAAAATCAGAAAATGACGCCAAGTTTAAATAAAAAACCTTTCAAAAAAACTTGTATGTATATATATTACAAAAAGGATTATATTTATTGCGCTTACAGCTTTTTAACCAATAAGCATCGATAAGATTGTATTTAGTTATTTTTGCATCTTTATCTAGTTATTTATTTAAAAATTATATTTATATCTACAATTAATTAATTTTTTTTCAAGTATACATTTTAAAATAATTGCATCTGTATCTAGTTACTTTTGCTTCTATATCTAGTTATTTAAATTTAAAAATGATATTTGTGTTTATATCTATCTAGTTAATTTTTCTTAAGTATACTTTTTAAAATAATTGCATCTGTATTTAGTTATTTTTTTTATATCTGTATCTAGTTAAATAAAATAATTTTTAAATAAAAGTATTTAATTCAAAAATAAAAAATTTTTAAATTTAATCAAAATAAAAAATATTACAAAATTTTGCAAAAAACTTGGCGCTGCTGTACTGAACTACATGTTAAATACATCTTAAAATATTATAGAGAATGAAAATGAGCAATAATTTTACAATTTACATGATTAAGTGTTATAATGACTCAAACTGACCAGAGCGGCAAACGGCGACGCGATAGCCAATTAAACTCTTGTTCTTACGGTAAAATTGTAAGTTGATTGGCTATAGCATCGCCACTTGCCGCTTCGTCGCTCTAGTCTGTTTGAGCCGAAATTTGTTTGCATCGCTTGCTCTAACATGCTCCTACTCGCTCTAATACTCCAAACTAAACTATAGTATTACGTCACATATACTATAGATTAAAGTATGTTAGAATAATTAGGAGCATGTTAAAGTATTGCGATGCAAATCTTATGTAAGTTAACATGTAGTTCAGTACAGCAGCGCCAAGTTTTTTTTGCGAAATTTTGTAATATTTTTTTATTTTTGATTAAATTTGAAAATTTTTTTATTTTTGAATTAAATACTTTTATTTAAAAAAATTATTTTATTTAACTAGATACAGATATAAAAAAAATAACTAGATACAGATGCAATTATTTTAAAAAAGTATACTTAAGAAAAATTAACTAGATAGATATAAACACAAATATCATTTTTAAATTTAAATAACTAGATGTAGAAGCAAAAGTAACTAGATACAGATGCAATTATTTTAAAATGTATACTTGAAAAAATTAACTAATTGTAGATATGAATATAATTTTTAAATAAATAACTAGATAAAGATGCAAAAATAACTAAATACAATCTTATCGATGCTTATTGGTTAAAAAGCTGTAAGCGCAATAAATATAATCCTTTTTTGTAATATATATACATACAAATTTTTTTGAAAGGTTTTTTATTTAAACTTGGCGTCATTTTCTGATTTTCTGATATTACCTCTTTTATAGGAAGAATATATAGCAAATTTTTATTTGGTTATATATACAACTTTTTTTGAAAGGTTTGTTATTTGTTAATATATATACATTTTTTGTGGAAGATAAATTTTTCGGAAGGTTAATATATACGACAGCTTTTTTTGAAAGGTTTATATATACAACAACTTTTTTTGGTTATATATACAACAACTTTTTTTGGAAGGTTTGTTATTTGTTAATATATACATTTTTTTGTGAAAGATAAATTTTTTGGAAGGTTAATATATACGACAACTTTTTTTGAAAGGTTTATATATACAACAACTTTTTTTGATTTATATATACAACAACTTTTTTTGGAAGGTTTGCGTGTATACAACTTTTTTTTGGAAGATATATACAACTTTTTTTGGAAGGTTTACGTGTTTATATAAACAACTTTTTTTGGAAGGTTTGTTAATGTATACGACATTTTTTTTTGGAAGATTAATTTTTTTAGAAGGTCAATATATACGACAGCTTTTTTTTGATCAATTACACATGCGCGACAAACATCGATTACACAAGCGGCACAAGCAATACGTTATGCATATATGGTATATGCATATATCGCAGCGCGACGCATATAGTGCGACATTGACAACTCATTTCTGAGAGATGCAATTTCGAAACATAATATAATCATATATGGTTGTATTTAGCATAAAAAATGCTACAACTTTTGTCATAACAAAAATTTTGAAATTTGTAAAAATAATAAGAAGAGGTGAGAGTAAATTAAAAAATATAAAATTTTTTAAAAATCGAGCTACGCGGTTATAAAGCTCATAAAAGACCATGCAACTTTTATTCGAAACATTTTTTGATATCTCTTACAGTTTTGACGATATTCAGTCAAAACCAAAAAAACCGTTTTAGCTTGTAGGGGTTGTTTCAACCCTAAACGTGCGAGAAAGCACATAAAAAAAAATACGTGTCTTTTATTTTGAGCTACTTTACAACATATTTAAAGCTCGTCAAAATTGGAGAGGGACACTTGGGTCCCTTTCCTTGTAAGTATAAAATATCTCGTAAACTATTCAATTTTTGACCATCCTACCTTTACAACTATATACGCCGAATATTGCAAAGAATCGATTTATATAAAAAAATTAGGATGGTTTTGTTTAGAAAAATGAAGATGACCTTTAAATCTCCGAAGCGTCTCTACCTAAAGTCAAACTGATAAGATCAGTAAATAGATCTTTTGAAATCCTACAACTTTTATCTGAATCATTTTCTTATAAACTTATACTTTGAGATATTCTGGAGTTCCGGTACTTTTTATACACCCTGTATATACAATAGTATACACAAGTGTCACCGACAAGAATAATATACCTAAAACTAGATGCCAGTATGTGTTTCATACGCGATCAGAAGATACAACAAACCTGACAGTATTATAACGTATGTACATCATAAGTAATTTGATATATATTAAAGAAAACGTTAATAAAACATTTTTAATTACTAAAATTGAAAAACGCAAGAAAAAACATGTTTTTCATATTAAACTTGATGTTATTGTTATTAAACGAAACGCACGGATATATCACGCAAGATATCGAAAGAATATTGCTGCCGACATTAAATACGATAGACGTAAAAGAAGTACGTGAGTTTTACTGTACTGCTTCGTTCATTGCTCAATTATCAAAATATTATCCGAGAAATATCAAATCTATTTAAACTCTTATATAATTTACAGATATCATTGATTCTGAAAGTTTTTAGAAAACGAATTCAGTTAAACCTGCGTAGAAACAACCAGATTGTATCTATGTTTAAAGTATGGACACATGACGCAAAAGGCATCACAGAAGATCTGTCGCAATCATACGCATCGGATCTGTGCTATTATCTACACAAAGATCATATTAGCACAGCGGTCATAAACTTTCATGAACATGGATGGGTCAGTGGTGTCATGTAAAAAACAAACAGTTTTTACTTTTATATTCAATTTCTTTTATTTTATATATAAGCATGAATTGCAAGAACCTTAATGTATATTTTTTAAGGTAGGAAGGATTCGTTTTTCTGAAAGACGACACATTGGAAATTAAACTTTTGCGAGATAATTTTGCGTCTTTATCCTTAATCGATGATCTTTGTGTTAAAAAAGAAATTAATATTTCATTTGGCAAACCTCATCTTATTAAAAGATCATTGCAATCATCTGCTGATGCAAGTTTTCCAAATTTGAATAATTTTGTAATGAAGCGGCGTCATGTACATGATACGCAAAAAAAATTAACTATAGAACTAGCTGTTTTCTTAGACGAAGCCGCATATCGTACGTTCATGCCTTTTCTGGGTGAAAATAAAAATGTGTTGCGCATGTTGATATTAGCGTATGTGAATCGTATCCAAGCTGTGTTTCATCATCCGAGTTTGGGTGTTTCCATCGATATTTCATTGGTACATTTGGAAATTATGAAAGAACAACCGTTAAATTTGCCAGTTTTTGGCGGCGACGATGGAAAACTGCTTACTTCGTTCTGCAATTACGCGGCAACTCGAAATCCTCCGGACGACAATGATTCGCGTCACTGGAACGTTGGTCTTTACTTAACAGGATTAAATATTTATTGGATAAAGCAAGACGATCTAAGTAGCATAGGATTAGCAAATCGCAATAGTACGTGCGACTTGACTGCATCGTGTGCGATAGTAGAATTCGGTATTGCGATTAAAATAACCTCGGGTTTTTCATCGTCTCTCACTGCTGCTCATGAGATCGGTCATGTGTGTGTAAGTTTATATATAAAATTTTACAAATTAATTTAACATACAAGTTTAAACATGATATTATGTTTTATAAGAATTATTTAAATTGTGTAATTTACAATTAAAAACCAAAGAAACTTTTTTAAGAGATTTTTTCCTTTAATTGTTCAGTATGATAATTATTAATTAAATTTAATATTAAAATATTTAAAATAATTAATGCAAAGTAAAACACATTATCAAAATTAATAATTTATTTGTTTAAAAGTTTGGGAATGATGCACGATTCCGATTATGAAATTCCGTGTGATGCATACCAATACATAATATCGTCTGAGCAGTACTCTCAAGGTCAAATCACTTGGTCCGAATGTAGCCGTGGTATAGCTGAAAAACTCTGGTACAAAAAGGATTGCCTTCGAGATCAGACGAGACCAAAACGTCTAGGTGACACACTCGACCACTCACGTTTTCACGATTTACCCGGAAGAAAATGGACCGCCAAAGCACAATGCAAAATATATTTTTGCGACAAGGATGCAAACGTAGTCTTGTTGTTTGATATATGCAAAATCTTAGAATGCGAAACGCTTCATGATAATTTATATGCCTTCACGGGTCCGGCATTGGAAGGTACATTTCCTGTTGCTGATCGCTGAAACATTTTATAGTTTAATTAATCTCATTTTTTAAGGAACTTATTGTGGATTCGGAAAGGAATGTCGTAGCGGAGAATGCGTACCCGTTATCGAACCACCGTACATTTTTGAGAATTGTGAAGATGATAACTGGAGTGAATGGAAAGAAGGCACCTGTCAAAGCATTTGCTTGGAGAAATCTAAAGGTGTAAAACTCAAACGACGTTCTTGCAGACATAGGAATTACAGAACGACGAGTTGCCAAGGGCCATATTACGACGTAGTCCGTTGCGATGATACTTTGCCTTGCTTTAAGAAACGGAAGACGATCGATTCATTTACCAAAATAATATGCATGAAATATATCAATAACTTATCCACCTTGCCGTTTAAGAAGTTGACGCTTGAACTAGCACCTAATTTCGAGCCAGGATGGCATGCCGCTCATGATTTTGAGAAACCGTGGATAGCCTGTACTATACACTGCCGACGAAAAAATTCGTCTACTATCGACGCACAACGCTTGAAAATGCTCAACCTTAATATTAATCCGTACTTTCCAGATGGAACGTGGTGTCATGAGAAAGATGGCCAAAATTATTATTGTCGACAACATTACTGTCTGCCTGAAAGCTACTCTTAAGAATTTTTGAGGGATTATCAACATGTGTGAACAAGAATCGAGGGAAAAAAAATTATAAAATGCGCATAAATCAGTATAGATAAGTTGGTGAATTCGTTTGGTACCGAATCTTTGATCGCACAATCTGTCGTGTTAACATTTGTTTTGCGTATCATATATATCTTACTTGATAGAGTCAATAAACTACGTCAAATTATAATATCTAAAACAAATTTTAGCAATTAGCATTAGTAAAAACATAATAAACAATTAAAGTAACACATAATAATTAATATGTCTGCAAAAAGGGAAAATAAATAGCTCAATAAAGTAGAGATACTTTTATTCCGTTCAACACAATGTATCCAGAGAAAATCCACGAGTGCGATAACATCATCACTATGTATTTTAATAGTCTATTAATGTTCCATTAATACTTATATAGAACGATTAAAAAACAAAAAAGTAAAGGGAGTTTTATTACAGAAATAAATAATTTTTAAAAACATTTAGTACAAATTGTTATTTATTTATTGAACACATAAGCTTGGTAACTGATTACGGCACGTCAGAAATCAATAAATTTCGCAGTATACTTTGTGACACAGTAATCGGTAAGCAATTGTATTTTTCTTTGATATTAAATTCGATATTTATAACGCTAAATTGCGTTAGCAATATTATGTCACAATAATTTTAAAATTGTCAATAATTAAAATTTTCTTAATGTTTATGAATAATGTTGCATATTCTACATATCGATCATAATTTGCATTTTCTAAATCCACCGTTATCGCAGGTATTATACGTGAAATTACAATTCAGAACCGAAAAAAACACACAACACACACACGCGCGCGCGCGCGCGCACGCACACACACACGCATGGCATAAAAGGTATATACACACATAAACTATAAGTGTTACACGACACGAATGATACTCCTAAACCTATATACTTGCACGTATTTTATACGCGACCTCCTAAGGCAATAAACGTGAGTGTTATAACGTATCAATATAATAAATAATTTCATATACAAAGATGCGTTAATTACTCAAGTACAAAATTAAGAAAACACAAGCACCAACATGTTCTTTATTTTGAAATTTGTGTTAATAATTTTATTAAATAAAACGTACGCGTATATATACCACGCAAGATGTCTAAACAATATTACTGCTTGCTTTGAATATGACAGACACAGAGGAAGTACGTAAGTTTTAGTGTATTGCTTTATTTATTGCTTAATGTCCAAAATATCATTCGAGAATCATCAAGTTTTTTACTTATAGTCACCTAATTTACAGATAACGTTAACTCTGAAAGATTTTGGAAAAGGTTCAATTAAACCTGCGTAGAAACAACCAGATCGTATCTACGTTTAAAGTATGGACACATGACGCAACAAGCATCACAGAAGATCTGTCGCAATCATACGCATCGGATCTTTGCTATTATCTTCACAAAGATCATATCAGCACTGCGGTCATAAACTTTCATGAACATGGATGGGTCAGTGGTGTCATGTAAAAAACAAACAGTTTTTACTTTTATATTCAATTTCTTTTATTTTATATATAAACATGACACACGAAAACCTTAATGTATATTATTTAAAACAGGAAGGATTTATTTTTCTCAAAGCCGACACATTGAAATTTAGACCTTTGCGAGATGATTTTGCGTCTTTGTCCTTAATGAATGATTTTTGCATCAAAGAAAAAGTTAATATTTCATTTGGCAAACCTCATCTTATTAAAAGATCATCGCAATCATCTGTTGAGGCAAGTTTTTTAAATTTGGATAATTTTGTAATGAAGCGGCGTCATGTACATGATACGCAAAAAAAATTAACTATGGAACTGGCTGTTTTCTTAGACGAAGCCGCATATCGTACGTTCATGCCTTTACTGGGTGAAAATAAAAATGTGTTGCGCATGTTGATATTAGCATATGTGAATCGTATCCAAGCTTTGTTTCATCATCCGAGTTTGGGTGTTTCCATCGATATTTCATTGGTACATTTGGAAATTATGAAAGAACAACCATGAAATTTGCCAGTTTTTGGCGGCAACGACAAGAAACTGCTCGATTCGTTCTACAATTATGCAAAAACTCGCAATCTTTCGGGCGACAATAATACGCATCACCGGGACGTTGGTCTTTACCTAACTGGAGTAAATATTCATTGGGTAGAGCAAAACGATCTAGATAGCATAGAATTAGCAAACCGCAATAGCACGTGCAACTTGACTGCATCGTGTGCGATAGTAAAATTCGATATTGCGGATCAATTAAACTCGTGTTTTTCATCATCTCTCACTGCTGCTCATGAGATTGGTCATGTGTAAGTTTATATATAAAGTTTAACATACAAATTAGTTTAACATACAAGTTTAAATATGGTAATATGTTTTATAAAAATTATTTGAATTGTTTAATTTACAATCAAAAAGTATTGGAGATATGTTTGTCGTGTTTCTATAATAAGAGAGAGAGAAGACACATTAGTATAGAAACGAGGCAATGGACAATTTTCGTTTGTTCCCGTCGTCGCTCGACTGTGTAAGGGAACTCTGAGCGCTGTTTAGTTTTAGTTTAGCTCCTTCATTCTCACAAGTAAGTTTGGTTATAATAAACTTTTATACAAAAGGAATAAAACTCTATTGGTTTAGTGTATACCAGAACCTCCATCATATCATAGTTCAACAAAAAGCAAAGAAACTTTTTTAAGAGATTTTTTTCTTTAATTGTTCAGTATGATAATTATTAATAAATTTTAATATTAAAATATTTAGAATAATCAAAGTAAAGCATATTGTCAAAATTAATAATTTATTTGTTTAAAAGTTTAGGAATGGCACACGATTCCAGTTATAAAATTCCGTGTGATGCATACAAATACATAATAGCATGTGGGCAGTACCATCAAGACCAAATGACATGGTCCGAATGTAACCGTAACATAGCTGAAGAATTCTGGCACGAAAAAAAGTGCCTTCGAGACCAAACGAGACCTGAAGATCTCATTGACGCTCGTGAGTCATATGACCACTCACGTTATCAAGATTTTCTCGGAAGAAATTGGACCGCCAAAGCACAATAAAAAATATATTTTCGCAACAAGGATTCAAACGCAGTCTTGTTGCTTGATATATGCAAAACCTTAGAATGCGAAACGCCTCATAATAATTTATATGCCTTCACGGGACCAGCGTTGGAAGGTACGTTTCCTTTTACTGATCTCTCAAATAGTTTATAGCTTAATTAATCTCATTTTTGAAGGAACTTATTGTGGACCCGGAAAGGAATGTTGTGGCGGAGAATGCGTGCCCGTTATCGAACCACCGTACATTTTTGAATATTGTGAAGATGATAACTGAAGTGAATAAAAAGAAAGCACCTGTCAAACTATTTGCTTGAAGAAATCTAAAGGTGTAAAACAAAAACGATGTTCTTGCAAACATGGCAGTCGCAGAACGGCGGGTTGCAAAGGCAAATATTATGACGTGATTTTGTGCGATGATACTTTACTCTCTAAGGTGAAACGCAAACAGATCAACTTTATTGTAAATAAATGCAGGGAATTCAACTCTTTTGCAATTATACATAATATAAACTTGACGTTTGAATCAAAAATGAAGGCAGAATGGCACGTCGCTCATGATTTCCAGAAACCGTGGAAGGCCTGTAGTATACACTGCCGACGAAAGGATTCATCTACTCTCTACACACCACGCTGAGAAATACTCGGCACAAATATCGACGCATATTTTCCAGATAGAACGTGGTGTCATAAGAAAGATAGCCCGGATTATTACTGCCGACAACATTATTGTCTGCCAGTAAGTTACTCTTAAAAATAATTCTCTAGAGATTATCGTGTAAACGAAAATCGAAAGAAGAGAAAATGATGAAACGCGCGTATTTCAATTTAGAATAATTGTTCAATTCGTTTGATATCGAATTTTCGATCGGTTTATTCTGTCATTGTTAACATACATTTTGCGTATCATCTATATCTTGTTTGATGGAAAAAAGTGGTCGAAAAATTACGTCGAATTATCAGCATCTAAAACGAATTCCGTCGATTAGCATTACTAAAAACGTAAAACAAAATAAAAAAGTAATAATAGATAATAATTATCATGTTTATTAAAATGAGAAAGTTAATAGCTAAATAAAGTAAAGGTACCTTTATTTCATATGAGATATTGTGTCGACAGATAAACGAGAACGATGACATCACTCGCCATGTTATGTATTTTAATAATCTATCAATGTTTCATTAATAATTATGTAATATATAAACGATTAATAAAAAAAAAAATAGAAGAAATTTTATTCCGTAAGTAAAAAAGATATTCAAACTTATTTAGTAGAAATTGTTACTTATTTGTTGAACTGAGCTCGTTGGCTGAATGCGGCAGTAATGAGAGTTAGTGAGAGTTTTAATAGTCAATCAAAGTTGAAAGAGATTTATGAGGAATGTTTTCTAAATCTTTCAGATATCTTTATTTCTAAAGAAGTACTGTTATTGTTTCAATTGAGAGACTTTTTTAATTTACCCATAACTAACAAAAAGATTATGGCAATAAAATTTAAAAAAAAACATTAAAAGAAATATAGAGAAATGTAATAAAGATATTCAATGTTCCGTGAGAAACAAAACAATCTCGATTATAAGTAGAATATTTTGATCTAACGCATATAACAATAAGACCGACAAGATGTTATACAATTGGCTTAGGCATACTAGAAAATTTATTAATAAACATTCGGACATTTTGTTTACAAGGGCTGATAAAGGGAACACCACAGTTGCCTTGAACAAAACAGATTATACTAATAAAATTCCCAGACAGCACACACGTCCAAAATACATCCGGATATCCAGAGAATGTCCTGTTGTCCTAAAAACATCGTCAGGATATTCTTTGGACGTATTTTGGATATGCTGTGCAGTGTAGGTGATGGAGATGATGCTCTCGGATATTGATACGTACCAAATAGTGAAGAAAGATCCGACGAGAAAAATAACGGAGAACTCACGGTCTCTATTGTTCAGGTGAAAGGAAAGAGGTAATATAGACAAATTCAAATACAAAAGTTTAATGGAAACGGATGGGGTTCTCCCCAAGACGTATGGATTGTCAAAAAGACACAAGTCGGGTTACCCATTAAGAATAATAATTTGTTCGTTAAATAGTCCATTATATAAAATTGCAATTTTTACATGTAAAGAATAATTGTTTGACACTAGATTTAAACTTATGTTTGATGCTAGTAGTGTAGTGCCGAATGCGTGCGATAGTGTCGTACTCTGATTGACGCGTGTGCGTAAAAATTTTTTTTATTATTATTGTTACGTCGCTATGGATAGAGTCTTTTTTTGTGTTTTTGTATAATAAACTTTTTCGTTAACTTCTGTAGTGCGCACATTATTTTAGGACCTCTGACTGCCAGCATAAGAGTGATATTCAACATTACATATTAGGCAAATAAAAAATTCTTTTGTAATTTTCGTCCCAAAATATCGCAAATTATTTTTCGACCACATGATCGGTGACCGCTTGGGAGCCGTAAACTGCACAAATCTTGGCGGCCGTTCAATTTACGTTCAATTCTTCGTGGAAGTAAAAAAGCATTATGTGGGAGTAATACTTCTTCGAACTCTCCATGGTTCAAAAGTTTACAAAATCGCAAAAATCCACAAAAATTCCACCAACGCTATTGCTTCTAGTAGCCAAGAGCTTTCCACTCCAGGCGCGATCGTTCAACCCGGCGCCGACTAAACGGAATGAACTGTTTGATTTACTTAATACTACTACTATATTAAATTGCAATTTTTACATACAATGATTCAGAAAAATATACACAATCCAAATAGCAACATCAAAAATAGTTTTGAATTAGTTAAGAATTTGAATGAAAGAATGATAGAATCAGAATATTGTTTAGCCTCTCTAGACGTAGTTTTTAAAAACATCAGATTTGTGCATAAAGGTAAATTGATTTTTTCTTTTAAAAAAATATAAAATAACGATTTTTCTAGTATAGAAAAATTTTTCTATAAATTTTTATAAAAAAATTTTTCTAGTATTGACTAATATTCATAGACCACACGTCCCGTGAGAGGATAACACAGACATTAGAAAGAGAGAGCAATAGCGTAAGTCATTGTGTCTCTTTCCAATACGTTAGTTGCTGGAGGGGACGTAACAGTTTATACCAGGGATCCGGACCGGACCGAAACCGAAACCAATAACCGAACCGTAACCGCTATTTAAGTCTAACCGAAACCGAAAACCGGACCAAAATATTGTGTAGGCTAATGGACCTGAACCGTAACCGGACCGAAAATATTTTTCCGGTTTTCGGTCCGCTTTTCGGTCCGCTTTTCGGTCTGCTTTTCGTTTCAGGCTCTCGAGCACGTACGTGGTTTCGCTGCGTGTTTCATTTTTTTCAACAATTGCGCATTGCTGAAAAAAATGAAACACGCAGCGAAACCACGTACGATACTTATCTATTCTGGCATTACGGCGCAGACATCAAGGCAGTGCTGTAGTGTAGTGAGTGTAAGGTGCAGTGTTGCAACACTGGTAAGGTATAAAAACATAAAAACAAAGCGTGGAATTATACAACATGGGAAGAAATCTTACAAATAAAGCGCACAAATATTTTAATTATAATCAAATAACGAATACTTCGATCTGTACTATGTGCAAGATATCGCTAACGGTAAGTACAAAATTTTCAAAGT